GCTGATTTTAGCTGTTTAAGCTGCTCTCCCCTCCCAGTCAGTTGGCAATCCTAGGTCCCGCGTAGCAGAATCAGGAACGACAGAGAAGAGGGGCAAGCTTTGGCTCTGGGATGTGCTTCCAACATTGAAAGGCACTGATTCCAAAATATACACGGGCAACCCTCTGGCAGAGCAGTTGGTTTTGCTGGGAATGGAGTTGCCAACTTGCTTGCTGCCCCCTGATCCTATGCCTTTAGATGAGCTGGTGACTTCATTAAAAAAAAAAATCCACTCAGTGAAAAGCCCTGACGTGCAACGTTCAAGCTGCTGTACTGGAGCACGGTACGTGTATTTTAATGGTAAGTTGGCAATCACTTCCGTCGTTCAGCTGGCACCCTTCTGTCTCGAGAAACAATGGAGTGCGCTTCCGGGGGTGAAGTCAAACTGCCATGTTAGCAGCAGCAGAGTTATCTCCCTGGAAGAGGCAGCCTTTGCGTGCCACAATAATGCTGCAGAACAGAGTGCAAGAGGGGATTTTTTTGGGGTGTGTGTGTGCTGCTGAAATCTGAGAGTCCAAAGTTCACCACTGTCCCCAGGGGACAAGCCTGGGTCATGTGTATGGAGGTCCTGGGCTGCCCCGAGGGCAAGCCCCCCACTGTGGCCTTGTTGGTGTGGTCCAAAGCAAAGCAGAGCAAGGCGCTTGGCACCAGCTTGGCCGCAGGAGTTGCTGGAAGAAGGTGTGCAAGGCGCCAGCCAACTGCCTTAGGGACTCTGTTCCAGATTTGTGTAGGGTTTACTCCTCAGCCTTTTCTCCTCCCGAAAATATCCTGCAAGGCAGCGGAGGTTTGGGATCGGAGTCTAGATAGGCTCCCTTCTGTTAATGGAGAAATCTGAGGGCTCCCTTGGACAATAAACAAGGACACCAGCCAGGAATACCAGAGCAAATCAGCAGCCAGTCGGCTTGGTCTTTATGGAAGACGGTCGCGACAGGACTCCCACCTGCCACAAGGTGGAACAGGATGGAAGCCCCGAACAAAAGAGCCCCCAAACCTTTATCGCTGAAGAATTGATGCTTTTGAATTCTGGTGCTGGAGGAGACTCTTGAGAGTCCCATGGACTGCAAGAAGATCAAACCTCTCCATTCTGAAGGAAATCAGCCCTGAGTGCTCACTGGAAGGACAGATCCTGAAGCTGAGGCTCCAAGACTTTGGCCACCTCATGAAAAGAGAAGACTCTCTGGAAAAGACCCTGATGCTGGGAAAGATGGAGGGCACAAGGAGAAGGGGACGTCAGAGGGCGAGATGGTTGGACAGTGTTCTCGAAGCTACCAGCATGAGTTTGAGTAAACTGCGGGAGGCAGTGGAAGACAGGAGTGCCTGGCGTGCTCTGGTCCAGGGGGTCACGAAGAGTCGGACACGACTAAACGACTAAACAACAACAAAAAATCCCCATGTTACACCCCCCCAAACTACATCACTCGTACATCATGGTTACATCATGAAAAGGGGAGGTCTGGTGGCAGGAATCTGAGCATCCTGGACCCTGCCCCTTGGTTCCCCTTGCCCTCCACCAAACACCCATCAAGTGTAACAAAAGAGAACCTTTACATTTCCATGTTTCCCAGCCAAGTGAATCACACCCTTTTGTCTTCATCTGGGTTTGTTATTTCTGGAATGGCTACCTGTCTGGCACTCAGGTATCAGGATGCCAGGGATTATCACTCAGGCAGAGGGGTTGCTGAGTAGCTGAGCTCACCTGTCTATATGAATTTCTGAAGTTTTCCCAGTGAGCCAGTACATAGAGACATTGATCAGTGAATTCTTACATTTGGTATCGTGCAGCAAAGGCCCTTTGAATAGATAGGAAGAAACTGTGATGGAGTGTTTTGTGGGGACAAATCACAAAAGTCACAAAAGTGATGGTGCTGGTTTTGGTAGTGCATGATATCTGCTGGAGGGGCAACCTCCCCAACCTATACATAAATTCCTGCAACACTTCCCAGGTGGATGGAGCCTCACCTGCCCCTTGCTTGCCTCTACCACATGGGCAGAAACTGCCTCCATCCACTAGAGCCTGTCTACAGGGGAAGCCCCTAACTCACTGAGGGTTTGAGACCCATCGGCTCCCCTCACCTGGTTTAGCCGGATAGTCGAAGCTGTTTCCCAGGATTGTGGCCGATGTCGCCTGCTGACAGCTTCCAGGAGCCACAGGTGGGAGCTGAATGCAGGGTGGGAGACCAAAGGTGGACAGACGACCCCAGAAGGAGCAGGATGTGGCCCCCACCAGAGGTCCTACTCCTCCCCTAACACCCCAGACACCTCAAGTTGGCAACCATTTCCAATATAATCTTTTAAAAAGCACCATTTTGGGGAAAAAGATTAAGCTGCTCTTAAATTAACAGGAACATGGCAGAGGGTATTCTAATAGTAAGTTGGCAACCATTCCCAAGATAATAATAATAAAATAATAATAATAATAATTTATCATTATTCTTAATTATTATTTATTATTATAGCTGCCCTGAGCCTCAGGGCTCAGGGTGGCTAACACCAGTAAAATTACAATAAAAACATCATGGGGGGGGGGGAC